AAGTCATCCCCCCCCCCCCCCCCCTTGATAAACCAGCCTTGCTCAGATTTTGATTTCTGAGGCGTTTTCAATTTACTTTCACTCAAAGTCTTAAAACCCTGCTTGAAGCTTTTCAATCTTTATGAGACTAATTTCCGTAATTTAATTGGCCTTCACTAAGCCCGTATTTCCAATAGAGCGGTAAAAAATCAAAACAGTTGAATAGAGGAGATAGGAAAAATGAGATAAGATAGCTTCTCGCCTTTTTCCGGAGCTGCTTTTTGGGTAAAGAAGAATGATTCTTACATCAAATGTTGCTTCTCGCGTAAAGCTGTGAAATTGATAATATCGTCATCTCAGAGACTCGTCCTGCCTATCTTTCCACTTTGTTTAAGTTGTTTCTTACTCATGGAAAGCAGTTCGTGTTGCATTCTCATCGTTGTTCATGAAAATACATCATTGTTTTGTACTTTTAGTGCCTGGATAATTGAGTCTTAGTTGCTGATGTCATTTTTATGTTGTTGTGTCGTTTAACAGCAACAACTCGAAGAAAGATGTAGCCATGGTAGAAACCGTGACATCCACAACTTATCTTCTGGAACAGCCAGATCAAGGAAAAGGCTTGTTTGATATAAAGATACGGCCCCTTGGGCTGCGAGTTCTGGTGATGGACAGCAGAAACCCACTTCTACAGATATATTTGTTTCTCGTAGGCAGACCAGGCCCTGGAAAATTCTAAAAATATGGTTGGAAGCAGAAAAATAGTAAAGGTTGTCCAGTGAGTTCTAATTTGCTATTTTTGAAATGGAATATCAGCTACTTTAATAATTTAAGCTACTGTTAACATTTCAAAAAATGGCAAAAGTATGTCCTATTAATAGCTCAGAGCAGATGCTTCTACTGCTTATGCACAGGGTCGTTACTACTCGCAGGTCCTCCAACCTAATTAGTGTGAATATTGTTTATTGGTTTAGACCCTATGTGTCTGAAGTTCCATGGCACACATGACCAAAAGGTTTGCTTGAGTTTCTAATGATGTTGCACTTTTGTTTTATTCAGATGCTATCACCTGGTTCCGCATTGTTTAAACAAACCCAACTGGGAGAGGTTTTTTCATAGATGTAAAGTTAAAACTCCATCTGCTTTGCGGAAAAACAACCAATTCCCTTATAGATTTATCGCTTCCTTACTTTTCTTACACAAACATTTTATTCAAACTTAAAAAAACCACACACTAATGGAAATTTTGAATCTCATACACAAAATATTAAAAATTTGGTCAATTACTACATAAACCAAAATGAATTTAGGTTTATTTGTTGATGTGGTTCGTTCGTGGACACGTGAAGAAAATTGGTTTGATTCGGTTTAACATCTGTCTAATTTTTTAATTTTTATAATGAACAAAATAAAATGATGTCATTTTGATATTGTTTATGAAAATTAAATTCAGTTTTCAAAGAAAATTGAAATGTCGTTTTAATATTGTTTATAAAAATTAAATTAAATTTTCAAAGAGAATTGAATCCAAGATATTGAGTTTTTCAAAAAGACACTCAACCACTAAACTAATTACACTTTCAACGAAAATATTCTACTACAATAATATCTACTAGATTTGGACCCGCGCAACCGCGCGAGTTTTGTTTTCATATATATATATTTGTTTTATATCATTAATAACATTAGTCATATGTTTAAATGTTTATTAACTATTACAAACACAATAGTTTTATAGCTTGTACGCTAATATAAATTGTTTCTTATTATATATTTATCTAATTGGCTTTATATTTAATTATTAATATTAAAATATGCATGAAAAATCATATTATTTTATATATAATTTATACTAAATTTTTATTTGAGTTTCAAAGTTAGATTACCGTTTATTAAACTTTTTATGTTTATAAAGATAATACGATATTATAAAAGTTTAAGATATGTTAATTTTTTACATGTATTTATAGTTACTAATGTTAATCCGTTCTGCCAATATATTATATATTTTTAACATTAATATTTTATATTTATGAAAATAAAATTGATTAATTTATCAATTTAATATAATTTTATAACATTCACTTTATTATAATAATTTCATTTAATTTGATAGTTTATGATTATTAGATAGATAAAGAGAATAAAATCTGTTTTCATATATATATATATATATATATATATTAATGTATAGTTATTTTTATTACTAATTCGAATTTTTATTCAAGTTATTAATTAGAGAAATATTTATATAATGTTTTTAAAGTTAAGATCTTGCTAAAATCTTTTCAACAGATTTTTTAAAAGGAATTAATAAATATTTATAGTAAAATAAAAAGATATCAAAGATATTATGATTGAAGTGGTTACAAAGAAATGAAATATATTTAATAAATCTTTTTTTACTAATGGTCCATATAAAAAAAAATCACACATGAAGTGAGTCATGACTTCTCTTTTAATATAATAGACTAGATTTTGACCCGCCCTTTTAAAGGGCGGGTATATTTTTATTTAACTTTTTTTAAAAAATTACTTTTTTATATTTGTATTTTTTTTTGTAATCATATTTTGATTTTCTTTATGATTGTATTTGTATACAAATCTTAATCAAAATCTATTTTATAAAATAATAGCAATTTGAAACCCATAGAAATATATACTGCAACAAATTATTTGATTTGTAGAGAGTAAATCGAAGTCCAAGTTTTATCATTCTCCGACCACAAACTGTTTGTAAAACCGAATCGGACCGGCCGGTCGAAATGGTCCAACCGTAACCCGTTAAAGAGGTTAAATCTGATTAGGTTTAAAATTTAGATTTGAGAAAATTCGGTAAAATTGGCAAAAATCCAATAAAACCGGTGACCCATGTCAACTAAAAATCTGGTTCTCAAAATAAATATAATTTATGTGTTTTCAATTATTATTAAAATTTAATTTTAATAAGAAAGACAAAAACATTTTAAAATATGTGTTTGTATAGTTAATATGACTGATGACGTCTACATTTTTTATCTCGTTTAGATAATGTTGACATTAACCTTATGTCTTTTGAAATAAGGTTGACATAATTATAAGGAAGTAAACATAAAAGAATTACGCCCACATTTGTTTAAAGGATTAGTATAGAATTAATTGGCAAAATTAAAAGGTACAATATAATTATATGTAGAGAGATTTTAGGTTATTCTGGTAGTCTTTTTTTCATTTCGTAAACTATCCTCCTAGAGTTTTAGTTATTAAAGTAAATCTGATGGCATAAAAAGTAATATACCATGGAAAAATAAGGGCAATTTCATAAAAGGGTTTCTGTTTTAATAGTATTGATAGACTAGATTTCAACCCGCACAACCGTGTGGGTATTTTAATAAGAAAATATTTAAATTTATATAATAAAATTTATCAATAAATAAATATAATTTAATTATGTATACTATCCAATTTTATAATAATGTTTATGTGACTTATAATATTATTAATATAAAATTTATTTTTGTAACAATATTTGAACAATTTTTTATTATTCGATTATTTAATATATAATACTATCCAATTTTTGTATTATTGTAACAATTTTTATAATATTACTAATTTATATATTTTGTTTTATTTCTAAATTTGAAATATATGTAAAAATTAAATTAATTTTGACCTACATAATACATAAACAAAATTTTGGGATATTGTTAAAATTATTTTACATAATTTTAATTTTTTATAAATAAAAAATGAATTAAAATTTTAATTATATTTTATGATATTAAAATTCTAAGTAAATAATTTTTGAAACTATAGCTTGAAAAGATTCTAAAATATTTTTAAAAGATTTTGTTAAAATTTTCTTAAAACTATTTATTTTTATTTCAAATTAAAATTAAAGATATGAAAAGATATTATAATGAGGTTATGTAAAATTTCATACAATTATAAGGATGGTCCAAACTAAAATATCACACATGAAGTGAGTCATGACTTCTCTTTTAATATAATAGACTATACTAAATATTTCAGACAAGCAAACTCACCAAAGCTCAATTTCTCGTGTATTTGTCTTCGTAGTCACTAGGCTTCTTGATAGACGTTTCTTGGAATCCAACTCCGTCATTGAGCCGATTGATCTCCATCATACTTCTTCCTCCAGATTCTCAATGGGATGATTTTAGTTTTAATTTTGTTGGTCCTTCGCTGGTGTTAATTGTTGAGTTTGAATCGAAATTCCATTAAAGGATTCATTGCAAGAGTAGATTGTCAATTTGGTGTGTGATGGATAGTTTGATTTGTGAAGGCCCTGGCTTTGTGGATTCAAGAACTGGATTCTCTTAGGACTGATGATGAATAAGATAAACTAAAAATAATGTGTTTGTTGGTACAAATTATCAATATAAAAACTTATTGTTGCGAATAGATAAAAGTTGAAGATAAGGTAATGGTTAACTGATTTAATGTAGAATAGATTTAGGGTTTGATACTCTCTGGTCATAATCTATACTATTAAAACTGAAGTACAAAAATAAAGTGTTTGGAAACATGAATAAGAAAATTTAAAAAATTTGATTAGAAATATGGATAGCATATAAACCTAATGGACTTATTTATTAAACTAAAAATTACCATGGTCCAAAATACATTATTATTGTTTTTGGATTTTTTATCATTGTTATTACTTTATTTCTGAAAATTATTTATACATATATGTACTCATGTTTTAATTGTATTTAGAATAAATCAAAAATAATATATGTTTTATTTATATAATTTATATTGACTATTGTTATAATTTTTTAACAGTGATATACTAGCATTCCAATTCTTCATTAAAAATTAACTTCAAAATTTGACTAAATTATTTAGTGTATATAATTTTGCACCAAATTGAGCCCAAAAAGCTTTATAAACCATTACTAAAATATTTACGGGTCACAACATTTTACCGACACCCCTGTTACACAATACAGTGATGAAATACAATGTTTAAACAGTATACTATTACTTAGTAAAATTGGAACCATTAGATTGTAATTTTTAAAATGTTTATATATACCATAAAAACAAAGACCCACTCAGTCGGGCGGGTTATGATCCAGTTTTTTTTTAAATAGCAAAACAACGTTGTTTGTTTCATTCAGTTTTTTTTTTAATAGACAAATGTTAAACTGAATTAAACTAATTTCTTACATGGCGTCCATGTAAGCACTACATCAGCAACTAAATTTACTTTGATTATGTAGTAAATGACCACATTTTAATATTTTCAGTATGAGATTCAAAATCTCTATTAGTTTGTGGTGTTTTGGCTTGATCAAAAATCGTGTATGAAAAACAAGGAAGCGGTAAGTCTATAGGGGAATTGACCGTTTTCCCTCTGGTTTAAACACTACCAACCTTTCTATACATATGAATGATGAAGTCTTCTTTAGCAAAATAACGCATACACAAATTACTAATATGTATTATCTGGGATATATAATCTAAAAAATCAACAGTAAAACCTGACAGATTAGTACAGTTTAAACATAATAATTTATTGAAAATCAACTTATAGCAATATGTAAATAAAGATCAAATACAAAAATGTATGCAATCATTTAAAGATTATTTGGAACTTTTAAAAGTTTTATAAAGTGGTTGTACAATAAAAATGAATTCAATGACAAGATAAGTCTAAAGGTTCAGAAAAAAAGATGGTTAAGACAAAAAAAAAAGATGGTTGAGACGTATTATTACCAGAATTCATAATTTTGAAAGTGATATATATATATATATATAATTGATTCAGAATTCAAATTTTATCATGTAATATTTTTATTATCTCTAGAATTTATCTTCTAACTCTAAAACATTATAAGTATAACTATTTGATAGCTATACTTCATTTTAAAAGAGTAGGATAATAAAAGCGTAAATCATCCCTTTTGGTTATTATAAAGTTATAGTACTGCTTACTTTATCATAGAGAAGAATAAGTATTGTTGAAAATTATTTTGTAGATTGTGATTGTTCAACTAGATACATAGCTACAAAGATATGGATACATATCTCATACAACGTCTCTAGAATCTCTTAGAAATATACCAAAAGAGATGGAATTGAAATGTATTATTAACACATTTAATGATTCGTAAGAAACTATATATATGTAATCAGTTAAATAGAATTATTCACATAACTGCTGAAATATAGATTTTATATTATTTCTAGATTTTAACTTCTAGTAATATTCAAAAATTATAGACTTATAGTGCTGTTTATTTTATAAAAGATAAAGTAGAGTAGTTTTGAATTTTTTGTAATTGTTAGTGTTTTTTGTGTGGATCGTGATTGTTCAATTATACACAAACACATACGCATGCATATCCCACACAACGTCTCACAAATCTCTTACGTAAGTAAATGATTCTATTCATGATATATCGTTTTGTTTTTAGTTACGTTTCTGTATTCACTTTTGTGGTACATAAGTACTACACGAGACCAATCATAGCCAAAATTGAGTATAAGAGTTATCACTAAAAATATGATAAATTAATATGATTGGTTGGGTACTCAATAAGTTCATCTTACTATCAAATTTAACCGAGTTATATTCTGTTATTTGGTAGTAGTCTTCTTAAACCAATGAACAGAAGTATATAAATAATTTTGGGAAGAAACAAAAAAAAAAAAAATAGGGATGATTGGGGAAGACAAGAAAGAGGAATTTGGTGCTAGGTGTTTGTTTGTAAGCATTTAAAAAGAAAAAAAAAAAAGTTGAAAGACATTTAAAAAGAAAGAGAATAAATATGGGAAGAAACGACACAAGAGAATCCGACAAAGATTTGGAGGCGTGAAAACTCAAAATCTATTGATACGGAAGAACCAATTTGACTGTGGACCAATTAATATGGTTCCAGTCAATGTTCAAGAAAATAAATAGCTCGACGGCTCTTAAGTGTTTTATTAGATTATTGATTATACGGATGTTAGAACGATTACTTAAAATATTTAAATAAATTTTTCAAAATACCATTTAGAAAGTTTTTTCGTTTAAATGATAAAAAAAATTTCATTTAGATTCGATTGGTTGACTAGGCGGATTCCTATACACACTTACATTGATTTTTAATATACTAATTCAGTGATCTAAATAACTAAATTAACTAATTTGTAAAGAGTTTAATGATTTAATATTTTTATTTAGAAAAAGAACTTTTATTTGATTATAACAAAAATATAACTAGAAGTATATAAGAATTCAGTTGTTACTAATTTTTCAAAAAAAAATACCTAACAATAATTTTAAAGCACGTTTTTTTTTTGGGTCAAAATAATTTTAATACACGTTATGAGTTCTTTATATGCATCAATTTAACTAGGTGTAAACTACGCATATACTGTATTAAATACAAATATTATATTTTATGTTTTACAAGGAGATGTAAGAATTTCTTGGAAACTAAAATGGGGAAAAGAGAATATTAGGGATCTTCAAACCCTAGGACATTGACTCCTTCGAGAAATTGGTCTTGTTCAGTGTTGGTCTTATTTTTTGTAACTTGTTCACGCTTTGATACCGGTTCTATTTGTGTGCGTCATATGACATAATGCTCTCGTCATCTTGTGGGTAAGTGGCAAAGTTTTTCTTATTACATCTCATTTTTGTCAACTTCCTATTACATCTGAATTTTCTTAAAAATTATTTTCCTCAATTTAATCTAGTGGTGCATATAGGCACATTATATATGCCAGCTCTTTATTGCCCCACTCTAGCATAGTTAAATGGTATAAAATTCAGATTAATACCAAAGAAAATTAGTTGTTTATGTATTCATTGTTAGGTTTATAGTAATGTTATACTGAATTCTTAGAAAATCTATTCATGATTTTATCAACCAATATAAAAAGTACTTCATTCATTCCATTAAGATAGATGTTTTAGAAAGATAAATTTATTTGTATACAGTAATTCTATTTTTTAAATAATAATTGAATTTATTGAAGTAGTGTTGGTTAAAATTATTGAAAACTGATAATTATAAACTACAATAGTAACTTAATGTGTTTTTAATACGTATGAGAACAATAAAAACTATCTTTAATAAACGAATATAGTACTTCTTATTTGATATTTACTGACTTCTCCCATAGTGAGTTTAATAAACGATCATACTTTACTTTAGAACGAAAAATAAGGAACAAAAATAGTAACACACACTTTTAAAGAAAAATATTTAGCAATTTGATCAACAGATGTAATGCAATGTACCGACTTTGTAACTTGTTTTCACGGATCCTGTTAGTTAAATACCGAGTTTGTTAAATGTATTTCCGTTTTTACGAATATAGAAAACCCTACGCAACACATTACAGTAATTTATACGTCAGCAGAAAAAGAATCGTTCTTGTCCATAACTTTTTCATATCTTCTTCAATTGGACAAATACTAGTTCGTTACAGTACTTTATAGTATGCACGCTTTTAACACTAATAAGCAATCGACGAAACCACTATTGAGGGGTGATCATATACATATAAACACAGCTATTGATTAATACAAGTGCAAACAGAAGTAACTAGAGCATATCCATTAAAAAAACACTACTATATCCTTTTTTTTTTTTGAACAAACACTACTATATCCAACCGTAAAGATATCCACTGGGGTTTTTAATAGTGAAGTGTTAACTCTTTCAGTTTATTTTAGCTATGTATATTCAACCCATACTAAAACGAAAATTAATCATTACTATTTGTGTTACTGAAAATCAAATAGCAATGTGGTTTAAGGATAATGAAATATATATAGACTGTGAGGTGGTATTTTATTGAATACCAGGTATAAATGATAACAACAATTTTAATCAATTTCCCAATAAATCATTTCGCAAATAAAAATGTACAACTTTAAAAGATCTTTTATTCATAACTTTTTTTTGTAAAAGTATCACTTTTAATTTCTTATAGAATGAGTAAATAAAGGTAACTATGGTTAGCTCGGCTAGTACCTACAAATCAATAGTACTGGACTAGTAGATAATCATTGCGAGTTTAGAACTAATTAATTAATCTAATCAGTTAAATCAAAGAAGCAATCTTACTAGCTAATTAGAAATAAAATCAATACGTTTCAAGAGTGAAGTGATTAAGATTGAAAAAGGATAATTAAATCTGCAATCGATGAAAAAGGCGCATGGACCATAGATGCAAGACACCTGTGATATACCCAAAATATTATTTAGGAATAATATTTGAAAAATATGCATATAGTATATAAACTATTCGAATAATCTTTTTCCTTGATTTAAAAAATATTGTTCGTTTGTTTTTCTCAACTCATGAATTGATTTTAAATAATAAAAGTACCACCTTTTTGCCCCACTTTAAGAAAAGCTAAAGCATGGGGAAAAAGTAAATATAAGATATAAAATAAAACAATTCTAATGAAAAGAAAATTAAAGGAACAAAGAAAAAGAGAGGAAAAAGACAAAATTAAAAAAAAAACTTCAAACAAAATTAATATCACATGTTAACAAATAACATCAAAATATAAGTTATTTTTGAGTTTCCCTTCTCCTCTTTCTCTTCTCTCCAATAAAACTAAAACTACTTAAGGTATCAAACGCTTATCAGAGTTCTCATAAAAGTATATCAAGAGATAGAAAGAGAGGGTGATGAATAGAGGTGCGTTGGAGAGTTCACCGGTTCAACAGCTGATGACGGCCGGAAACCCTGATTGGTGGAACGTAAGCGGTGGCATGAGGCCACCACCACCACTGATGGGTCATCAAAAAGGGCCGCTGCCGCCACAAATGACTCCTAACAACACTTTCCGACCACGGATGATGCCTACTCTCTTGCCACACTTTTTGCCATATCCGGCGACTTCTTCTTCACCTTCTTTGCCTAATAACCCTAATATATCTTCTTGGCTTGAAAGCAATGATCTCCCTCCTGAGTCTTGGAGCCTTAGCCAACTTCTCATGTAACTCTTCATCTCTCTCTCTGTCTCCATATATATACATATCATAAAACGAATATAATCTCTAAGAACATGATTTTGAGTTCTCCTAGTTAGGTTCATGGTTTTGTTTTATCATGTGTTGTAACCGAATCTTGATTTCTTCTTTATATATATATATATATATATATATATATATATATATATACGTATAGATTTATAATATATCAGTTTCCACAAAACTCAAACTTTGTTTTGTGTGTGTTTCTAGTATTTTCAGTATCAAATACTCAAATCTAATACTAATAGTATATTTTTTAATTTAAGGGGTGGAGTGATGATGGGAGAGGAAAAGAGATTGGAGATACTGAACCATCATAATCATCATGATGAACAACAGCACCATAGTTTTCAAGGGAAGATGGGATTAGAAAATTGGGAAGAGCAAGTCCTACGCCAACAACAAGCTTCCATGGGAGTTGTTGACATTAAACAAGAGAGTAACATTAACAACAATAATGGTTATCTCATATCTTCTCCAAACTCACCTCCTAACAAGTCTTGTGTCACAACCACAACCACAACCACAACAAGCCTCAATAGCAACGACGATACCAACAATAACAATAATATGTTGGATTTCTCGAGCAATCACAATGGTTTAAATTTGTCTGAGGGTAGACACACTCCTCCGAATAGATCCTCTGAGGTAATTCTTTTTCCACCTCTCTAATAATTTGATTTTTTTTAATAAAATACTAAAAAGAATTAAAAGAGATAACAGAGAGAGAGAGAAATCCAAGATCTAATTAATTAATATACATAAAATTCGTAAATACGAAAAGAACAGGACAAACTATGTTTTATTTTGAGGTTTGGATCTCAGTTAGCCTCAACCAGAATAGGGTTTATTATGGATTTTTTTTTTTATTACGGACTAACTAATTTTTATTTTGGTTGTTATCTATATATGTGATGAAGTGTAACAGCTTAGAGATTGGCGGCTCTACAAATAAGAAGCCAAGGCTTCAACCTTCTCCTTCTTCACAGTCCACCCTCAAGGTAACTAATTGATTATATTAACGGAACTTTATTCAACCTATATAAGTTATGTATAAGTAATCTGACTGACATCATAATAATAAAACAAGAACACAAACACCAAGGAGAACAGACGAGGCAAACAAAACAGAATGGGCACAGAATAACCTGTGCGGTTTTTGTGTTTCGTAACTCTTTTGTTCTTTCTTGTTTTGTCTTCTTCTTCCTTCTTCAGATTCTTTTTCTCTCTTCTTTCAGAAACATCACACTTAAATTTCTCACAATATTCCTTAAGATATTATATATTAAATTTTTTGATTTCATAGTTTGCTTTAAGTGTTTGAAACCTAGCAATAAAAAGACTCGGATTCTTTTTATCAAAAAAAAAGACTCGGATTCTGATTTGATTATATAATATTAATCACTTCTACTTACGAAGCAAGCACGTTTTATCTATGCATGGTAATTAGTAAGAAAATATAACCATATATGTGTATATGTAAAGTTTTACTTTATGCTACTAATTTATTTTTGTTGACAATTAAAGGTGAGAAAGGAGAAATTAGGAGGCCGGATCGCAGTGCTTCATCAGCTAGTATCTCCTTTTGGAAAGGTCAAGATCGATATAATTAACAAATCCCATTAATTAATCTTATCAAAACAACTTTTTCACTTAATTCTTAGCTATTACACTCCAAAAAAAAAAAATTTAACATGGTGATCATTTTAATTTTATTTTTGCTAATTTAAATCATTCTTCTTCCTTTTTTATCTATTTTTTGCAGACTGACACAGCTTCTGTCCTGTCGGAAGCTATTGGATACATTAGATTCCTTCAGAGTCAAATTGAGGTGTGACTCGTCTTTTCCAAACTCAATATTCTCGTTTTCCTTTTAGTATATAAAATTAATTATGCTAAACTTAACTTTCGTGCAAAAAAATATTTATTTGTCATCTTTTTTTTTATTTTTTATTTATTTGTCATCTTAATCCTAGTGATCCCTAAAAGATTAATAATTTCTCTAAATATTTTTGGTATTGGCCTCCGATTACTAGTTTCCTGATTACTGGAATTCATCTCAGCAGGACATCACTAATTTAGTACATATGTTGGTTGTAGTGTTTGAACATCAATATATAATACACTGATGGACGAAAATTATTCAGTATTGTTTACTAATTACTAATAATGAAAAGAGACACATTAAACTTTACAAAATGGAGAGAGGGAGAGATAAAGATAGTATAAAGTTTTGTTCTCTCAATGTTAAGCAATCTTTGATTGATGTGATTATGTATAAAATATATTTTGAAACTGTTGCAGGCTCTGAGTCATCCATACTTTAGTACAACTGCCTCGGGGAATATGAGGAACCAACAACATGTAAGCACCAACCTTTCTATTTATATTATACATATATTGGATATGTATATATATATTATTTTTTGTTATATCGAAAATGTGTGTGTGTGTATGCGCTGATATAAACACACATAACCATACTATAGTTTATGCACCGTACATTTTAGTCATATACACTAAATACTCTCTTAATTCTGGTTTTTATAAATAGTTGCAAGGAGACAGAAATTGCTTATTTCCGGAGGACCCTGGTCAGGTAAACATCCGTTTACTAACGTCTGTTTCTATAAATGCTTCATTTATATTATCGTAATTTAAAGCATACGGATGAAATGAATCAAAAACTAAAAATGTGGACTGCTTTCATTTCCAAAATGTATCCCCTTTTCTTCTATTTCTACTGTTTTCTTTAAAGATAAAGTTGAATTAGTATAAAAAGATGCAATCACCAGCTTTTTGTATTCACCTCCCTTATAACCAGTAAAGTTTTTCAAATATATTACCTTTCTTCCTTATTTTTGTTCTCCATCAAAGGACACTTCAAACTGTGTGTGCGCGTTTTTTTGTTATGTAATTTATCTTTAACAGATCAATTAAACTTATAAAATTCTCAGCCAAAAACATCATGAATATTAAAATTTGAAGTATATTTTATGTTTGTCTTTATGTCCCTTTTGAATATTTTCTGTCCCATTTACATGTTGATTCACATTTTTCACACGTTAAGTATTATACTTAGTTGTATAACTTCACTTCTTGAGAAAAAATACCATCTATCTGACTATCTCCTAAGAAACATTTTTTTCATTTTATTTTCCTACTTTAATTATAAATAAATAATGATGTATAAAATCTTTTAAACCATATTATTTGCTGTAAAATACGAAATGAAGGCGAGGACTACTAATTACCTCGTTACATATGTGACATAATGTGTTATTTTGCTGTTTATCAATGCTATACAAATCTTAAGCTATTCTATTTTATTATATGGTTTTAGCTCGTCAATGATCAATGCGTGAAGAGAAGAGGAGCCTCGTCTTTGTCTACAGAGAATCAGAATGCAAATGAAGAACCTAAGAAAGATTTAAGAAGTCGAGGTTTATGTCTTGTTCCAATCTCCTGCACATTCCAAGTCGGCAGCGACAACGGCGCCGACTATTGGGCTCCGACACTCGGTTCCACCGGTTTCCACTGAACCAATGAATTTACGCCACGTGGGATTCCAACCTTAGAGAAAATGATATAACATCACGAGCAGTCAGTCTAATGAGAAACCAACAAATGAGTTTACAAGACTGATTGCTCATGATGCTATACAAAGAACTTTGCTAGAGAATTTGCGTTTGGCGTTTCATCGTTTTTATGTAATCAGATGATCAAGCAGTCCTTTAGGAAACTGTGTGTTAATGTTTTTACTGGTTCACTGTAATCTGTGGTTAAGTATTTGAAGCAAAGCGAACATAAACTTGTTTACAAAGGTTTGTGAGATCAAAAAGTTCGGCCCCAGCCCACAAAAAGCCCAAATTGTGAAGGTGGTCAACGGTTTAACTACATCTGAAACCCTCTTCATCCACTGCAAATCCAAAGAAGACGATTTAGGCGAACATAATCTGCGTCTTGGAGATAGGTTTTCTTGGAATTTTGGAGAAAATACTCAACTTTGTTTTGGTGCTACTTGAGTAAAGATGATGGTCACAGACTCGCATGAATGTAAAAAGTCTTTTGGGATGATGTAATTTTATTCCATAGATGCGGTTGGAAGAAGTGCGTTTGGACTGCTAAAACTGATAGGGCTTTATCTTTGGAACTTTGCCAATGGTCAAGATATGTTGTTGGAGAAATGGGAAGCTGGATGGTGATTTTTTTCATATGTTTTATAGACAATAAAACTCACTGTTCTTTTAGTACTTTTCCATCAATAATAAATTTATGTTTTTTAAAAGGATGTTTGTATATAGTTATGTATTACATACAAACCGACTAATTTATGTGATCAATCTATAGACTAAAACTGATTTAAAAACATTAAAATAACAATGAATTATTATATCTCATCTCTATTGCTAGAAAATCCAATATATAATTTACGAATACGTGAGTTATCCAAATATTAAACGTGGAATTATATATTTAGTCTATACCATAAACATGATCTTCACATTTCAGGCCATTCTAATTTTTGTTAAGCGATCATCAACTTAACCCAAATGATGAATCTTAGGTTTTGAAGTCTAAATTTATATTATGGAATGGTTTGATACTATTCCGGTTTGTGTTTGATATTCCATCTAATCTATTAAAACAGAGTCTTATCTTTTATTTACGTACAAATAGTCTAAGGTTGGTCCATTTAATTTATGTAATTTTTAACATTTTGTATATAACAAACTTAATTATTATTAAATATACATAATCTTAATATATTATTTAAATATTTTTAAAATAAGATATCAAAAGATATTACCAAATATATTTTATACTATTGCATTCTGATAAAAAAATTAATATTTTTTATTTAAAATATAGATATTTATTGTTTTAATATTTATTTTCATAATATAAATTCGTAATTAATTTAAATTTTGTTACAAATAAATCTTATTTCATTTTAATTTATAAAATAAAAATATCATTTCTATAATGTTTATATATACATAATTAAATTATTACAATAACGAATATATATAACATAATTAAGTTACAACTATTTTATAATTATAAATTAAAATAATTACATATGCATGATAACATATATTTATACAGTTTACAACATATTTCAGTTTATTTATGGAAACTATTAAAATAAAATATTTAGAAGAATAGATATTTTTTATATTTAAGATAATAGCTAAATTATCATACTAACATATAATTTAATATATTTTCATTTAAAATAAAATATTAAATTTAGTGGACATTAATATTATATTATTATATAGTATACTAGGGTAAACCCGCCCTACGGGCGGGCGAAAAAAAAATAAATAATATACATTTATTTCAATAATTTAATTTAATTTTAACTAAAAATATTATTAATGTTTATAATTGTTTAATTTTAATAAAAATCTTGAAAATATAACCATTTAATCTCTTTCAATGTATATTTTAGTTTAAGTATACCGATAAGATACAAACAAATACTATGAGACATTTGCTATTTTAAAAATTATATTTGTATTAAAAATTTGTATTCTTATTTTTAAATTATCATTCTTTTATTTCTTTTTATGTTTATCAATTTTTACGGTTAAACTAAAATACACATTTAGAGAAACTAAAAATTTTTATTTTTAAATTTTATTTATAATTAGAAATTTATGAACCTTAGTGATATTTTTAGTAAAAAAAATTGATATATTTTATTAAAATTATATATTTATTATTAAATCTTTTACCATATATTATTTTCAAATTGTCATTTCTTCGATTTTTCTGATTATGTTCATCAATTTTTACGGTTAAACAATAAATTCTCTATAAATAGAGCTTTTCTCTCGTTCATCATTCTATATATGGCGATAGTCTTAGCCACATGAAATTTTATCATCTTCAAAAGAGTTTATTGGCCTGAAAAACAAATAAGTGGTATTAATTTCACATACAATTATTATTGGTAACGCATTGGAAACAACAAAGTGGAAAATAAATGTGAATTAGTGTCAAGTTGCATATTCATGTTTGACAGAAACAAAAACATGGATTCTTTACAAATATGTACAGTATAAATATTGTTTAGAAATCAAATTTAGTTTAACAAAATAATAAATGTGAATTCATTATAAATATGTACAGTATATATATTATAACTATAATTAATGTCAATTTGCATATTCATTCATCATTTGTAACTGAAGATGCGCAAACCAAAAATACAGATGACAAAGCCAAACAAAAGTTCCTTTTGACACAAAAGTTACTTTCTAACTAAGTTAGAATGTTATTTATGATTAAGATTAAATTGTCGAATGCACAATCTACCAAAAAGCCTATGGTGGTGACACTGGTAAGTAGGAGCGTATGATATGTCAAAAGCGAGAATTGTGTTTCTAGCTGGAGTTAGAAAATTAGAAAGCTAACGAAAGTAGTGTAAACAACTCTATGAAACACATCAAATGGAAAAACCATTTTAATCATAATTATATGATAGTTTTTACTGTACAAAACAGCACATCTTCCACCAATTCATTAACAACTATCAATTCTTCCTTTCGCATTTGATCAAATTCACACATTTGCAAGATAAAGAAGACTGGAAAAAGAATGCATTATAACTGGTAAGTCAATGTACTTCCCACGATTTGACAACGAATCCTAACATTACAAAATCTAACAGTCTTATCTCAAATATATATATCAACACACCACAACTCCAAATCTAATATCTTATCTCGAAGATATATATCAACACACCACAACTCCAAACCATTTTTTTCCCAGACATGGTCTGTCCACAGAGGTTAAAGCAATGTTCTCAATCTTCTTCACTTCGTATTGATCTCTTTCTTCACCAATCTCTCGCTCTATTATCATGTAAATTTTAGGAAGTCAGACTAACATTGGGTCAAGCTCTCGCCACTCTTTATCTTCTTCACTACTAAGCAACTTCACTCAGAGAAAATACAACGACCCTCAAGCTGTACTGTAATCTTTCTTTTCTATACACACTGCAATATATCAAAAGAACATTACTGATTCCATCTACCACTTCAGAATTACCTTTACCAACAAAATATGGTATTTCTCAGCCTTGTGAGTGCTAGGAGTTGAAAATGATATTCTGAGGTGCCATTGATGTAAAGTTGCTGGAGCTTCTTAGTATCCGGATATGGTATTTCTCAATCACATGTATGAAGCCATATCAGGAATCTTAGTTTCATGTGGTTGAATGTGAATATCAGTGGTGAATCTAAAAACTTGAACACCAAAATGAATTACATCACTATTTACACATCTTATTATGAATGGTGCTCGAAGAACTTAAATTTCACCTATAAAGAACTAAAAAAAACAAATATATATTACCTTCGCGAGTATGATATCAAAGATATCAGTCTACGCCTCTGATGCAAATAGGACATCCCCTTGATGATGGCTGGACACAAAGAATCAAATAAAGGAATTTTCAAGATGGTGAAATCTATGAATTTGGTAAAGATCTTTTCACCTGAACTAATAGCAGAAACTGAGAGGGATGGTGGAGATGTTCATAGACTGCAAGGTCACGGAAAACAATACAACGTGGTTTTTGAGAAACGACAACAGTCGATCTTTCTCTACCATTGAAATGGAGCTTACCAAATCTCCACCGGTGGGAAAGTGTTTGGCTGAAGCACCTACTGATACATCGTTTCTTTCCAAACAAAAAAATGAAATGAAATTTCTTAAACCTGTTAATCAAAAGTTGGACTAAGTGGAATGGTCAATTCCCATGATAAATCTGAGATCAGACTGACCAAATCTTCGTAAACATTAGTCTCAATCACGTTGAACAAAATCGAAGGAGAAATAATTCCATCGCCAAGCATGTTCCTCGCGGTCGGTCGCCGTACCATCTCCGCCGAGCCTACGCAAAGACACATGACGGCGCAAAGAAGAGAAACCAAGAGTGATGTAACAATTCTTAGGTGTGAATATTGTCTAGAGATGTTGCCCCACCTGTTAACAAAGCATACCTATTTATTCACTGAAAGCACCACCTCTAAGATGTTTAACACACATTAACTGCAAATCGTCGCCGAAGGAGTAAATAAATTGTTTAATGCAATGGATCTCAAAGCTACCTCGTTTTGATTCATAGAAAGAATGTGAAAGGACTTGCTCGGAACCAACAGACGGAATCGTCACACCGATTCTGCACACCAGTTTCTCTAATGGCGGAATTCGACGATCGTGGTGGAACCCCAAACTACGCCGCTAATCGCAGAGACATTCAAACACCGCTAACCCTAACCAACAAAACGATGCAGATCAGTAACAACATGGAGTAGCAGATTAACGCGGAATGGGCTTGATCTCGTCGATCATAATTCCAAGCCCAAAAATGTGAGAAATCACATGAGAATGAAACGTGGTGTTTTACAAAATCTGGACAGGTGTCGGCTTGTGGGGATAGTATTTGATGACATGGCACCTTAAGGAGGGAATAAACTTTACTTTATAGTAATAGATAGATTGAATTAATATATTCTAATGTACAGTTACAGGTTTTGTAGCTTATTTTTTTTAAAGTAAATATTTATCAAATATGAGACGGTTTGAACGCCATATTATTAATTTATATTATAATAAATTTTTATTTAATATTATTATAAAATAAACTTGACAAATATAAGAAATAAAAAATAGAGTTACATTATAAGTACAGATCATGTTATAATATAACACACCTGTTTTGATACTAATTTGTATCACATCCTAAAATCTATAAAGTAATCATATATCGTTTGTATTTAGATTATACAGTATTAGTTTGGTTCAGATATATCCGAAATTAAATCTAAAATTTAAAAGAAAAAACATAAGAAGTAAATACACATAAGAAGTAAATACTTATTTATATAGAATTTGATATTTAAAACATTTAATTTAAATTTAAATACTTATTCTAGATACCATTAAAAATATATAATTGAATATTTTAAGTACATGTTTATGTTTCAAATTTTTATACTTATGATTAATTTAGACATTTAGATCAGTTTTTAAGTTTTCCAGATTTTTTATTTTTTGGATTATCCGTTCAGGCTAATAACACTTCGGGTGTGGATATGTTTTGTACCATCCTAAGAGACCCAATTTCTTAAATTTCTGACCGAGTACAGATCGAATTGTTAGTTTAGATTCAATTCAGATTTTGGATTACAAATTTTATACTTAAACCTATTTTAAATATATACAAAATGCAATTATATAAAATTTTCATCAAAAAAAATTTCTACGCTTGAAAAGCGCAGGTTAAAATCTAGTTTTTTTTTTAATTCTGAAAACAATGGTCTGATCATCATAAAACTTACAAAAAGATGACTCTGTTTGTATTGTTGCTTTGCTAGTGACATAATGACTAATCACTAATAAATAATACATTACAGTATGTGGATTATTACGTAGGCTTAATTAAATAATAGAGAGTGAACAATGGACGATTATTTTATAGATAAATTTTATGAGATCAACTTTTAAAAATTTAAATATTAAGGAATTAGATCTTATCTTTATTGCTCAAAAATCCCAATATTCATGATTTTTATAGCATGTAATGGTTTGGTACAGTTTCGATTTATATTTAGTATATTCATATATATGCAACTTGTAAAGGGTTAGTTTGATAGGTTCAATCTTGGGGGCCACAATTTTTTTTTTTTTGACAAAATGTGAATTCATTTCATAGAAATGGCATTGAGATACAATAGCTTGGATCTAATTATGCTAGAACTAGCAAAGGCTATCTAAGAATCCCCCCAAAAAGATAAAAAAAGATCCTTAAATACAGTGTTAGGCTTAATCTAATACAGACTAAGGCTAAATCATGAAACATGGAGATCAAGATGACAGCAATTGACTCCCGTATGATCCAGAGGACACTTTAATGCTGAAACCTGCAAAAAAGATTTGAGATCAAGGGAAAGTTCAGGAGCGAATGAGATCCCGGAGGAAATCTGATGTCTTGACAGGCGGAGGCGGTTAGGCGTCCCGGCCCCGGCCATCACTCCATCAAGGGTCCGCTCCCTAACAAACCAGAAGATTGAGAAGGATGAGGCTGTTGGTCCAATCCGACAAGAGGAAGAGCAAGCGATGAAGATCGAGAACTCGTGAACTGCAGGCGGTGGTCTTTGACTCCCTACACCGGCCACAGCGTCGGAGAGATTGATGCTTTCCTATCGACAAAGAGGCAGCACACTTCTACCCTACCTTCCTGCGAGAGCCTGAAGAACCGGAGCTGGAGCTCCAAACGAACAAGGCGACACGACTGACTACTGAAACAACACCGTACAAAGGAGAACGGACTGAGCATGTCCTCGAAGCTCAAAGCCTCCGGTAGACAGCGAACGAGACAGAACGACAGAGAAGAGTCACCGAGATTTGCTGGCATGTAGATCTAAAAACAGAGGCCCTCAGCGGAGTGTCTAACTCCACCGCTCTCGAAAGATCTCGATCTTTGAGGAGAGGCTCTACAGCACCTTGAGACCCCGGAAAAACAGAGGAACCGAGCAACAGGAAGGGAGAGGAGAACAGTGGAGGCAGCGACGCTCCAGATCTGCTCCGCCAAACCTTGAGACAACGAATCTGACCCAGATCCGACGACGGCTCTTTGTTCTATCAGAGAAGCAAGGACCCAGTGTCCAATCTGCTGGTGACCCCCTCGCCTACTCTCCAGGAAGGCTTAGTACACACCAAACCTCCATTTAGGTCCGTTGAGGCAGTGATCCAGAGAGTAGAAGCAAAGAGGGGGCGACGAGATCAGAGGGAGAAAGGGTGAGAGACTGAAGCAAACGCATATTGGAAGAGGTGGGAGGTCGACGGCAAAGGTAGCACGCCGACCGCCAGAGGAGAGATAAGGTTGACGGCGGAAATTAGGTTAAAGGGAAATGAAGGGGAGAGACACTGGAGAGAATTATTCTCTCACCTCTCTCTTGTTTTCTTGGGGGCCACAATTCTGACCTCTAATTGGATAAATCTCACTCAGTACAAAGAGAAAGCAAAAACAAACCTCTCTCTCTCTCTCTCTCGTGAAGCACTCATGGGTCAAGTACCATCCGGTGGTTTGAATCGGCCAAGAGATCGCCAACCCGAGGCGGTGGCGCCACTCCCAACGGTGACTCCTTCCACCATATGCAAGCTCCGTCTGCTAAAGATGGAGCGGATCAAGGACTATATGTTAATGGAAGAAGAGTTTGTAGCAAATCAAGAGCGGTTGGAGAAGGTAGAGGAAGAGAGATCTACTACGGTTCATGAGAATCACGTTGATAAAGATCAGCTCGAGCATGGTTGCTCGATTTTGATGCATAATAAGGTATTGTGAATTAGGGTTTAATATTAAAGACAGGGTCCTGCTTAAAAACCTTCTTTTAGCACAAGATACGAAAAGGTCAAATTAACCTTCTTTAAGTAGCAAGTGTTAGTATTTATTAGTTATGTGTATATATATATAATGGCATGCATCATAATAACAAAACAAAACACACTAACACAAAGGAGTAAAGCAAACAAAACAGAATGAGCACATAATAAGCTGTGCGGTTTTGTCTTCTTCATATTCTTTTTCTCTCTTCTTTCAGAAACATCACACTTAATTACTTCTCAGCAATATTTCTTAGATATTATATACTGAATTTTTAGATCATAGTTTGCCTGTTTACTGTAAGTGTTTGAAACCTATTAACCTAGCAATAAAAAGACTCGGAGAAGAATTCTGATTCGATTATATAACTGTTAGCTTTATACAGATATATTAATCACTTTTACTTACGAAGCAAGCATGTTTTCTCTATGCATGGTAATTAGTAAGAAAATATAACTATACATGTGTATATAACTGTATATAAAGTTTTTTTGACTTTATGCTAATAATTAATTTTTGTTCATAATTAAAAGGTGAGAAAGGAGAAACCAGGAGACCGGATCGCAGTGCTTCATCAGCTAGTATCTCCATTTGGCAAGGTCAAGAACGATTTTAGTTAACAATCCACTCAATAATCTTAACCTTTTCCCAAATGTATTATTCCTATTAAAAAACCTTTTAACATGGAGATATTATGTGTTACAAAAAAAAACATGGAGATATTTTAGTTTTTTTTTTTTTTTGCAAATGTAAATCATTCTTCTTCCCCTTTCTTTACCTATTTTTGCAGACTGACACAACTTCTGTCCTGTCGGAAGCTATTGGATACATTAGGTTCCTTCAGAGTCAAATTGAGGTGTGACTCGTCTTTTCCAAACTCCCAATATTACACCACTAATTTAGTACATTATATATAGGGTTTGAACTTTAATATATACAATAAAAACAATTATTCAGTATTTTTAATGATGGTGAAAGAGATGTCAAATTTTATAAAATGGAGAAAGAGAGGGAGACTGTGACAGGAATTATGGTTAATTCTGGTTCCTTCAGAGTCAAATTGAGGTGTGACTCGTCTTTTCGGCTTTTCCAAACTCCCAATATTCTCATTTTCCTTTTAGTATATATAAAAATAATGCTAAACTTAACTTCGAGAAGTAATATTTATTTGTCAGGGTAATCCAATTGATTTTCTTTTTCACAATCCAATTGATTTCTAAAACATAAATAATATCTCTCAATATTTTTGGTATTTGACCTCCGAGGTTTAATTTCCTGATTTCTAGAAATACAACTCAGCATGACATCACTAATTTAGTACATTATAGTGTTTGAACTTTAATATATACAATGAAAACAATTATTCAGTATTTTTAATGATGGTGAAAAGAGACGTCAAATTTTATAGAGAAATTGGTGGAATTGTCCCTAAATACACCTCATATTTGCCATCTAACCTTCCAAAATAGAAACTATTTTGTCTGACCATTATACCCCTATCTCATTCTCTCTCTCTTCTCTTCCATATCTTATAATCTCTTTATCTCTCACACATGACATATTTATACTTTTATTTTTTCATCATAAATCTCTATTTTTTACTCTGATTCTTTTGACACCCATATTGCTAATGTTATTATCTCACACTAATTCTATTATTTCTAATTTCAAATCTTGAAATATACATTCTTTTATTTGGATAATATGTAAGTTAGCAGCTATTTCATTATTTACCCGTTATTATTATATTTTAATGAATTTGTAACNATAAATAGATATAACCCGATAACAAAATTTGTAGCATGTTAAAATTTTATCAATTTGCTAACAATTTTTATATCATGTTAAAATTGATAAATATCTCTTAGTGTTCAGTTAACATAATGTGTATCCGTTAAATCTAAAGTTACATGTTTTCGATAAAGTAAGAGGGCATTTTCGTCCGCACAGTGTCAAAAGGTTACTCTTTTTTGGATTATCCATAACCATGGACATTTCGCCAATTTGGATCTTCGTTGGGTACATTACACCAATTGTCTCAATTTTATAAATGGAGAAAGAGAGCGAGACTGTGACAGGAATTATGGTTAATTCTGGTTTATATTTTTTTTTATATTCATTTCGGTTTACTAGAACCAAGCCGGTTCACAAATAGTTTATGTACGCCTTTTGGCTATTCTGAGAAATCAATCAAAAACAACATAACTTTATCTTCTTCTTCAAGTCTCTTCTCTCTATCGTCACCATCATCATCTATCATATCACCATCATCACCTTCTTCTAGACCTGTATTCACCAATCTTCGGATCCTTGGTGGATTTCTAGATTGGAGCTCTATCTACACTAGTTTTCTTGTCTCAGAGACAAAGATTGTCTAAAGGCTTTTCAATGTTAAGTAATCTTTGATTGCTGTGATTATGTATAAAGTATAATATTTTAAACTGCTGCAGGCTCTTAGTCACCCATACTTTGGTACAAATGCCTCGGGGAATATGATGAACCAACATGTAAGAACCAAAATTTCACTTGTACACATTGCATGTATACATTTTTGTGTTAAATCGTATATATATGTATGTGTGTACGCTGATATAAATACACATGACCATACTATAGTTTATACACCGTACTTTTAGCCATATATACTTAATCATCTCTTAATTCTGGTTTTATAACTAGTTGCAAGGAGACCGAAGTTGCTTATTTCCTGAGGACCCAGGTCAGGTATCCGTTTATTAACGTCTGTTTCTATGAATACTTCATATGTATAATCGTAATTTTAAGCATACGGATCAAAAAATTCAAAAACTAAAAATGTGCACAGCTTTACATTATTGATTAGTATAACCAGCAAGCCTTGCTTATTTTTGTGTCTTAACCAAATGGCATTTCAAATTGTGTGGGCGCGTTTTTGTTATATGCTTTCATCTTAAAAAAATCATGAAACTTATAAAATTCTCAACCAAAATATCATGAATATTAACATTTGAAGTATATTTTATGTTTATGTCTATTGTCCTTTTGAATATTTTCTGTACCATTTACAGGTTGGTTCACATTTTTTTTACACATTACTTAGTTGTATTTTTTTGTTCAACTCACGTTACTTAGTTGTATAACTTTACTTCTTAGTAAAAAATACCATCAATCTCTTAACAAACATTTATGCCATTTTATTTTTCTATTTTACTAAATATGAAAAATTATAAATAAAAAATTATGTATAAAATATTTAAACCACATTATTTCTTGTGAATACGAAACAAAGGCTGACATTACTATTTACCTCGTTACATATGTGACACATAATGTGTCATTTTGGTGTTTATCAATGCTCTACAAATCTTAAGCTCTTTTATTTTATTTTCTGGTTTATGATCAATGCATGTCTTTGTTTACCGAGAATCAGAATGCAAATGAAGAACCTAAGGGCATGTTCAAAGGGGGAGCACTTTAGGGTGTGCTTAGAGTGAAAATATTAGTTAAAAAATGGATTTGAGTTAAGAATAAGGAAATTTTCAAAGGGAGATCACTTTTTTAAAGGGTGTGCTTAAGAAAATGTTGAGTTTGAGGTAATAGATGTAGAAGCACCAGAGGAAGCCGGAGATGAAGTAGAGTAGTGTTCCGGCGAGGTAATTGCAGAACGATGTTTCGTCGACGAACTGCATCAGATACGCAGCATCCACCGCTATTTTAATTTGAATCCGCCGCGCAAAAAAATTGGCGATTCGCCGGAATCGGTGCCGAAAAACGAGAGAATATTTTCCGGAGTGGAAAAAACGAAAACCCTTATTTTTCTCCTTTTTCTCGACCAATACGCGCGTGACACGTCCCCAAGCACATGAGCTAAGCACTGGTCTTCAATAAGAACTCTCAAAGTGTTCTTGGGCCACTTTTCTATTAAATCATATTTTAAAAAGGCCAAGCACATAGCATATGTGCCCCCTTTGAACATGGCCTTAGAAAGATTTAAGAAGTCGAGGTTTATGTCTTGTTCCAATCTCCTGCTGTCCTGCACATTCCAAGGCAGCGACAACAGCGCCGACTATTGGGCTCCAACACTCGGCTCCGCAAGTTTCCACTGAACCAATGAATTTACGCCACGTGGAATGCCAACCTTAGAGAAAATGATAGAACATCACGAGCAGTCAGTCTAATGAGAAACCAACAAACGAATTTACAAGACTGATTGCTCATGATGCTATACAAAGTACTTTGCTAGAGAGTTTGCGTTTGGCGTTTCATGGTATGTTTTGTCATCAGATGATCAAGCATATTATGACATTTAGGAAACTGTGTGTTAATGTTTTTACTGGTTCAGTGTAATCTGTGGTTAAGTATTTGAAGTAGAGCGAACATAAACTTGTTTAAAAAGGTTTGTGAGATCAAAAAGTTCGGCCCAGCCCACGAAAAGCCCAAATTGTGAAGGTGGTCTGTTTAAATGCCACGGCTCCCATTCTTGGTCTGCTTCCAGCTCTGATGGCTCTAATCCATCGTAAATCTCTGAATTTTAAGATATTTATATTCGGTCGAACGAGTCAAGTATTATAATTATACCTAGTTGGAAGGTTAAGGACATCTATTTTTTACCCAGTTGAAAGGGTTAATTAATTAATTAATAAGAAGTTTATGGTTTATTTTAAGGATTTGGACTCTGATACCATGCTAGATTCGAATTTAATATAAACTTTCAATTAAAAATCAATTGATGATATTGATCCTAACATTTTATATATTACTTAAAGTTTCATTAAATTCTCGATGTGAGATATATACTTCTAATAGCTCACATGGAATTGGGTCAAGCTCTTCGAAACATAATGAAAACATGGTTGATAGCCATCGGTCTACGTTTGTCTCTCTGTCAAGAATACTAACCCTAGTTGGGCGTCCCTGAGATGTTAGAGAAACTAAACAATCTAGTAAAAAAATACAAATTCGAAGCCCTTTTTCCATGTAACTTTCTTAAAAAAATTTGGGACCCTAATCCAATGTTTCATTTTCTGGCTCTCTGACTATTGCCTTAGAAAGAAACCCTACAAGACAACCACTACTACATTTTATTGGTTGATGAAGCTAACCCATCTATGGCAAGACTTGGTTCAAGAATCTTCCTGTTCGGTTTAGAGGTATATTCTAAACTGAAAAAAGCCTACATTGTACAATGCATACCTGAACCGAGGCGATAAATTTGACACAAAATCTAAGAAGATGGATAATAGCTTTATGTGTGCAACCAAAGATCGCATTTTTGTTCTCGGTGGCTGTGAGAAGCGAGGAATGGACTAGCCCGGAAGATACTCCACTGAAACTGAACAATAAAGTCTTCCTTGTTGGTTCTTCACATGCAGACGATCTTGTAGTTTGGTTTGTTTTTGGTGCTATGTTTGTGACGGAGCGGAAGTACCGTTAGTAACCGATAATGCGAAGGTAACGTTGAATTCTGAGAATACCCGTTAGCTAAGCCTTCTTAGATCCGTTGAATTCTTAGAGAATGCCCAGAAATAAGGATTCAAGAGTTTGTTAAAAACCAAAGCTCTATATATTATAAATCAAATAATCAAGTTGTGTCTCTCACAAACCAAGAGANACGGAGCGGAAGTACCGTTAGTAACCGATAATGCGAAGGTAACGTTGAATTCTGAGAATACCCGTTAGCTAAGCCTTCTTAGATCCGTTGAATTCTTAGAGAATGCCCAGAAATAAGGATTCAAGAGTTTGTTAAAAACCAAAGCTCTATATATTATAAATCAAATAATCAAGTTGTGTCTCTCACAAACCAAGAGAACACAATATATATAGGGACGTTAAGTCCAAAACCTAATTATTAAAGGAAACCGAAAACCTTATAGAAAAAGGAAA